TCTTCTGCTGTGCAGGAGGGAGTATGTGCTGACACAGCACTCAAATAGATAAATTATTAAATCTTTAAAGAAATAATTATTTGGACAAAAGGGTAAAGATGTATTGAATTAGTTTCTTTGCAAGCAGATTTCTCTATATTTTTAATTTGAGAGAGTTATCAGTTTTATATCACAATTTTGCTTTGCCTTGTGCATTTTTCTGTTTCCTCATTTTTCTAGATTCCAATATTCTATAAAACATGGACGAAATATTTTATTTTTCCCTGTCAAGATATCTAGAATACTTAATATGCATTTGAAGCCATTTATAGAAAGTGATATTACTACTACATAGAACTACTTACAGACACAGCTTGGGGTCATCCCCCCTCCGTGTGTGTGTGTGTGTGTGTGTGTGTGTGTGTGTGTGTGTGCATGCTTGTGTGTGTGTGCGCGTGTGTGATAAGTGTATTCTCTTTGGTAGCTAATCATGTTTGAAATGTGTGAGAGTTTGCCTCCCTGTGCCCTATTTAGGCATTTAATGCTTCCTTTAGACCCATGCTCACTGGTAGGTGGCCAACACGAAATGAACTTGGGTATTTTTGGAAGGTTCTTTTGTCTCACAGCACTGGCTTGTTTTAACCTTACATATTTTTTCTTATATTATGGTTTCTTGCTTTGTTTTTATTGGGATTTCTGTGTGGGCAAATGTTTGTCTCAGCACCTGTGTTTCTTGTGCTTTTTCTTCAACTCTTTTCTGTTTGTTTTGTCTTACTCTGATTTATTTTCATATTGTATTATTATGTGGTTATTATTGTTGATGCCTGTTTGTATCTTAATGATAGGAAGGAAAGGTGTGCATTTGCATGGGTGGGAAGTGGGAAAGATCAGGAGGGAGGGGAAACTGTGATCAGAATATATTGTATGAAGAAAAAAAATCTTTTAATGAAACATGAAAAATACTCATGAATAGTGAAGAGTTACATCTTGTCTAGTTAGTGAAAATACTAACTACAAATTCTAAATTTAAAATAATCTGGAATGAAAATGAAATTTTTTAGTTGTCTAGTATATAATTTTTCATTTTTTGAAGTATTACTAATCGGTAAAAACTTAAGAGGATATGAGTCAAGGCATACTCAACATGTAAAATTAAAAACTGATTTATTTTATTTGAGCCAAGGTCTTATTATTCTCATCCTGGCTCTAACCTCATGGTGTAGCCAAAGATGACCTTGAATTTCTGATTCTCCTGTCTCTCCTGCTAGAGAGTTGGTATTACAGACATAGACCCTGGACTTGGTTTTATGCTGTTTTGGTGATTCATGAATGCCAGGCCTGCTGGTTAGTTTTATGTTAATTGGACACAAGCTAGAGTTATTTTAGAAATTTTAGAAAAAAAATTTCTCCATTATCTTGGCCTGTGAGCAAGCCCGGGAAACATTTTCTTGATTGGTGATTGATTGGGAGGGCTCAGATCACTGTGGGCGGGGCCAACCTTGGGTCTGTGCTTCTGGGTGCTTTAAGAGAGCTGGCTGAGCAAATGTTGGGCAGCAAGCCTGTAAGCCGCACCTCTCCATGGCTCCTCCTCAGTTCCTGCCTCCAGGTTCCTGCCCTGCTTGCGTTCCTGTCCTGACTTCTCTCAGTGATAGACTCTTGCTTGGAGGTGCAAGTGAAAATAACCCTTCCCTCCCTTGGTCACGGTGTTTTATCACAGCAATAGTAACCCTAACTAAGACAGTTGGCAAGCACGCTACCAACTGAGTTACATTTCCAGCCTCAAACTTACGCTTACTTAAATATTCATTAGAAAGTATTACTAGCTTGGCGCCATTTGTTCAATTGGCAATTGAACCTATCACCTATGCTTTTAAATGGAAGCATATGAGGTGTGCAAATGAAATGTGTCGCATTTTATTTCTGCATGTGTGTAATTTTGGCTGTTAACGTCACTGTAAAAACTCATGCCAGCTCACCTCCTAATCATCTCCTCGTATACCTTTGAACCTTCTGTAATCACCAGTGAGTTGGCCCACCCTTCTGTGTACTCTAAGACCCAAGCCTCAAATGCTGGAGTCCACTGTAGCTGCTGGAGCGCGGCTGGCTCCCCATGCACACAGTAACAACATCATGAAAGGTACCACGGAGAAGTCTCATGAATGGAAATGTCTCAAAGGCGCTGCTTGTTGTATGAAATCACTGCTTGAACACTTAGAGGGGCCAAGCATCTTCCCTAGAGTAGAGCCTTAGAATAATGCATTTCTGATTAGAGTTGTCGTCTAAAAATAGTTGAGATTTAAAGGCTTATGTCACCTTTAAGACAGGAACTCAGGTCTTGCTGGTGACAACTTCAGTTGGATTCCATTTCTCCTCACCTAACTAGTGTGGATCTTTTCGTGTTTCCTGTGTTTGGCATGTGCTGACTGAACCGTGTTGGAAAACATGAATAGTATTTACCATTAGTGTTACCTGGGTGTAGTCACCGCCAGCAATGACTTTGAGGCCTTCCAGGTTTTCTTCAGTTATTTTAAGACACACTGTAAAAGCTGGAGAACAAAACTAAATTCTCCCACTTGAAATGGATATACACTGTAGCCCACTTATGAGGTAAGAGTTTTTTGTGTGTAATGAAATAAGTGAGTGACAATTTAGTGAGGGGAGGGAGTGATTTAGATGGGTTGTTGCCATGAGGATCATGGGCATCAATTTTCATTGCATATTTCTTGGCTAGCTTTCTTTTAGGTAATTGGCCTCTTTCCAGAGAAATATAGACATGATGGAATTTCATTAGAATCTTTTAAAGGATACTATGCTCAAGAATCTTTTTTCTTTGGGTTCTCTGAGTTCATATTTTTAATAGTATATTTATAGCATGGCATTAGTTATGATCCAGTGCAGAGGATTAGAGAATGTGTTATCATGAGTGATCATATTCTCTCTGTGCCTTCTTTGTTTAAATTTGGCAGTGATGGATACTCAAAGGAAGTCTATGTTTTTCTCTGTCACAGCACCAGGAATAGAAGAGTTGGATGTGCCACCAGATTACAGAATAGATTTTGTTCAGACATTTAAATTGCTGTCATAGTGTAGAAAATAAGATTGTTAATATCTTCCTTACCATGTTTAAAGAAAACAATACTTTTTGGGGGGGACAGAGTTTTTCTGTAGAACCCTGGCTATCCTGGAACCCACTCTGTAGACCAGACTAGCCTTGAACTCACAGAGATCAACCTGCTTCTGCCTCTTAGGTGCTGGGACTAAAGGCATGCACCACTGTGCCTGGCTGGTACTTTTTAAAAATAAGTAATTGACTATTTCTCAAAATCCACTAGCATCAAGGAAGAGATAGGGAAATATATATGCTATGCTAGGCTGTAGAAGTGGCTTTCCTTGCTCTCACTACCCTCCAGGCCTGGCTTTAGTGACCCACAAACTATCACCTCAGCCCTGTGAAACTGGGGCAAGAGAATTAAGAGTTCAAGGCCAGCCTTGTGTACATAGTGAGACCCTGTTTGAAAAATCAAAGTAGTTGATATTCTATGTGGTTTTCTTGACTCCTACATACCATATTGTTTTTTAACTTTAAATTTTTCACTGTAGTACTTTAGACGTACCCAAATGAAGGGATGTGAAAAATAGACTCTCATGAATGACTTGGTGATGGTTTCAAAGAGAATGGCCCCTCGGGGCTGTGTGTTTGAATATGTGGGCCCAGTTGGTGGAAAGGATTTGGAGGACTATTGAAAGAGGTTTGTTAATGAGGTCAGGCTTTGAGGGTGCAAAAGACTGGCACCATTCCCAGTGTGCCTTTGTGCCCCCAGCTTGCAGATCAAGTGCAAGTTCTCAGATCTTGCTGCTGCCACTCCTTTGCTCTAACATCGTGGACTCTGACCCTCTGAAGCCATAAGCTGCACATTAAATGCCTTCTTTTATAAGTTGACTTGGTCATGGTGTTTTATCACAGCAATAGAAAGGTAACTAAGAGAGTAGCTGGTACCAGGGAGTGGACTATTGCTTTGACAGGCCTGACCGTAGTGTATTTTTGGAGGACTGTGGAAGACTTTGGAATTTTGGACTAGGAAAGCATTTGGTTGCTGTAAGCAAGGATTAATGGGCCATCGTAGTAGGATTTGAAAGACACGAGTGCAGAGAGCAATGTGGACAGTGCAGGCTGAGCTCAAGAGGTCTCAGAGGGGAACAATATTAGCAGCTAGGCTAGGAAGCATTCTGGTGCTATTTTGGCAAAGAATGTGTGGCTATATTCTGCCTTTGTCTTATAAATCTGCCTGTGGAAAAAAATGGAAAAGTATTAATTTCCTTGGTGGAGGAGATTTCAAGACAGCTTAATATTGACTCTGTTGTGTGGTTATTAGTAATCACTCTTATGTCCATCTATAGTGAGAAAGAGAAAGCAGGGGGGAAAAAGAAACACAAAATGTACAGTTTGAAGAGAAAAATAATGCCAGAAAATTTAATGTCAAGACTTGTGCTGAAAGAGATGAGAAAATTAAAGAAAGAACTGATTCAAAGTGGAACAGAGGGAGGGGACTCTTAGAACAAGACTCAATTAGCTAAGCTTCCAAGGAATTGTCTGTTTCTAAAAGGACACAAAAGTTAAGCTTCTAAGAACCCAAGGTCTAGTATACACTGATCATACACTCTAGCACCAAGCCCCAGCCCCTGTGATGGTTATTTATATTAAAATCTATTGTTAATGTCTGCCTAGTGTCCCTTTGTTGCCATCCTGTATATAGCCAGCCATGTTGAAGTTGAAGTGCTGCTTGTCTTTGTTCCAGTGTATAGCATTGCAGACATACCCTGTGTTTCCTTTGTCAGATGGTAAAAGAGCTTTGTTTCTTAGAGAAATTACCATCCACAGAGATGTTCATATGTATTTTATGTATCTGGAAAGATTTGAGAGTGGATACAACTGTACATTGACAGAATTTTTGGAAGCTTTAGACGGTAGTATGTTTTTTTTTCTCAAATATCTAAGCTGTCTACATGGTTTTGCTCTGCAGAGAAATGGTCAACGCATGGTTTTCAGAGAGAGTTCACAACATCCCTGTATGCAAGGAAGGCATCCGAGCCCACACGGAGTCGTGCTCCTGCCCCTCACAGCAGAGTCCTCATGCGGACAATACCAACCCTGGAGCACCAGCCAGAAAAATCTCTGCCTCTGAATTTGACCGGCCTCTTAGACCCATTGTTGTCAAGGATTCTGAGGGAACTGTGAGCTTTCTCTCTGACTCAGGAAAAAAGGAACAGATGCCACTAACCCCCCCAAGATTCGATAGTGACGAAGGGGACCAATGCTCCAGACTCTTGGAATTAGTAAAAGATATTTCCAGTCATTTGGATGTCACAGCCTTATGTCACAAAATTTTCTTGCACATCCACGGACTCATCTCCGCCGATCGCTATTCCCTATTCCTTGTTTGTGAGGACAGCTCCAAAGACAAATTTCTTATCAGCCGCCTCTTTGATGTCGCTGAAGGTTCGACACTGGAGGAAGCTTCCAATAACTGCATCCGCTTGGAGTGGAACAAAGGCATTGTGGGACACGTGGCAGCTTTTGGTGAACCCTTGAATATCAAAGATGCCTATGAGGTGAGTAGGGGTCCACAGAACATCAAACAGTGATTGGAATGGATGGTGGGAAGGTGGGAAGTTGAGATGGAATAATTTGCAGAGTCCTTTAAAACTGGATGTAGCCAGGGCTACAACTGAGTAACAGAGTATTATGCAGTGCTGGATTGAATCTCCAGCCCTCAGGGGATTGGGGAGATTAAAAAACAAACAAAACCCTAAACAACTGTATAGCAGGTTGCTAGCTTGTCAACTCCTGCTTTTCTTCCCTGGTACTTTAGTACAAGGCTGGGCCTGAGGGAAGTTTTCTTTCTCCATTAAATATAACGCAAGCAAATCCATCTCATATTTGTAGTCTGATGATTAAGTGTAATGTATCTCGCTGTTTCTCTATGAACTTAATGTTTTTAAGCTGGGATTCTAAAATGATAGACCCAAAACCTGTCAAAATAAATAAACAAGCCTGTCACCTTCTTCTTTGAGAAATCACTCCCATCTTTTGAAATCCCCAATGACACCAAAGTTTGGTTTTCTTTCCTTCCTTCGTTTGTCCTTTTGTCTGTTTTCTGGTGGTACTCATGCGAGCTCCAACTCAGTTGCAGTTAAGTGATGACTGAATGCTGGGAGAGCTGGATATCGCTCAGCTTTTAGTATTAAGGTTTTATTTGCAAAGATACTAGAAAATTTATGTTTCTACATCCATTGGTTTTGGAAATATTGTCAAGACCTTGTCTCATTTTTCTATTTTCTTTAAATTTGTAAAAAATACTTTATTATAATGCACCTAGGTTAACATAGACACTCAAATTAATACTTGGTGAATCCCAAATGCTATATATTTAATGGATAAACACTATTCTATTAGAATAGCCACTCCGAAGCCATGGAACTTATGTTTTATACTCTCACTAGCCACTATTTTTATGCACTTATCTACAACAAGTTTGTTTTGCATCCTTTACCTCAATCCTGTTCTTCACCGTTAATATTTACTGTCTCTTCACCTCTTTTACATGTTCCCATGTGTATATTTGTTTACATATATAACATATACATTATATGCTAGGATACAGGTATGAGAACATGTGTAGTTTTTTTTCTTTTCTTCTGAGCTTGGGTGATTTTGTGAATATTATGCATTCTGTCTATCCATTTTTTCTTTCACTTTTCAATAGAACTGAAGAATACTTTATATGTTTACCAGACTTTCATTGTCTAGCTAATGACGGGCATGTTGTTTGGTTCTATCTTCTTGCTATAGTAAAAAGAGCAGCAATAAGCATGGATGTGCAGATATCTCTATGATAGAGTGTGGAGTTCTCTGGGTCTGTACCTAGGAGTGAAATAGCTGGGGTCATATATAATTCTATCTTTTTTTAATTTGGGGGGAACCTCCAAGTTGATTTTCATAATGACTCTAGTAATGTGTACCCCACCAGCAGTGAATAAGGTTCTTCTTCTCCAAATCCTCTAACATTTGTTGTCAGATCTCTTTTTTTCCATTTTTAAGATTTATAAAAAGTTTATGTGGATGAGTGTTTTATCTGCCTGGAAGTATGTATACTGTGTACATTTCTGGTGCCTGTGGAGGTCAAAAAAAGGGTGCTGGACCCCCTAGAATTAGAGGCACTGACGATGTGGATCCTGGGAATCAAACCTGGGTTCTGGAAAAGAGAAGGAAGTGCTGAGCCATTTCTTTAGTCCCTCTTGACAGACTTCTGAAGAGTGAGGTGGTATCTCAAGATATTTTAATATGCATTTATCTAATGACTAGGGATGTTGAACACTTTAGAACAGTCATTGTCTGTGGTGATATATTGTTATATGTATTTATATTATATATGTTATTATTAAAGTTTGCTTGAGGATTCAGAAAGACAAGCTAGCCACAAGCCATAGTGCTCAGGCAATGGTGATACACACCTTTAATCCCAGCAGTCATACTAGCAAGCCACAGAGCCAGGCAGTGGTGGTACACACCCTTAAACCCAGTACTCAGGAGTCAGGCAGATGGATCTCTCTGAGTTTAAGGCCACCCTGGCCTATACAAGAGTGGAAAGTAGCAGAACTCATGCCTTTGATCCCAGCACTTGGGATCACACCACTTTAACCCAAGTACTAGGGAGGTGGAGACAGGAGTGATATGGCTGGGCAGAGAAAGGAATATAAGGGAGAAGGAGACAGACACTCAGAGCTTTTGCCTTTGAGGATTCATGGAGATAGCATTGTCTCTGAGGATTCATGGAGACAGAATTGCCATTTCAGCTTGGTAGAGGTAAGACCTACTGACTTGGCTGCTTTGCTTCTCTGATCTTCAGCTTGAAGCCTGAACCCAATATCAGTCTCTGGGTTTTTATTTTTTGTGCTACAATTGTCTATTTGTTTCCTTTTTTTTGGAAACTGTCTATTCTGCTCATTGGCTCAATTCTTAATTGACAGTTGTATTTCCTTGGTATTAAATTTCTGCAGTTCTTCATGCATCCTGGTTATTAGCCCCTTGTCCAAATAATAAAGGTATCTCTTAATCTATGGCTGTCAGTGTACTCTGATGGTGGTTTCCTTAGCTGTGCAAAAACTTGAATTTTACACAGTCCCATCTGTTGTTGGGCTCTTGTGAGGCTAGTTCTTGTGAAAATTTGGTTCATTTCAGAAAGCTCTTCTCTATCAAGTATCTTGCAAAGCAGTCCTTGTTTGCTTTTAGTATGGAAGACATCGCTAAATCTGAGAGTAAAATATCAAAGTTCCCCACTATTATTATGCCAAGACTTATATGTCTTATAGTGTTTGTTTCATGAAAGTAGAGCCTCCAGTATTTGGTGTATACATATTTAGAATTGTTATTTCTTCTTGATGAATTGTTCCCTGTATTAATATATTGTTTCCCTTGGTTTTGATTTGAAGTTTACTCTATCTAACATAAGGATAGTCAGGCCTGCTTGTCTATGGTTTCCAGTAGTTTGTTTTCCATATTTTGATATGAGATTTTGGATATCTTTTCTGGCTGTGTTTCTTGGAGATGATATATAATTGGTTCTTTATTTTAAAATCCATTTCATTAGTCTGCATCTTTTGATTGTAAGTTGACGCCATTTATATTTAAAGTTATTGTAGAAAAGGATTTGCTATTTTCTATAAATGTTAGGGTTTTTGTTGTTGTCTTGCTGGATCATTAGCATTTCTTTTCCTCTTCCATTAGTTTTTCAGGGTTTGCTGATTTGCTGTGTTAGATGTGTTTGCGTCATTTGAGAGTTTATTTTGTCTTTCTGTTCCTTTCATGGAGTACACACTTCCATGCGTTCTTCTAAAGGAGGTGTCTTTCTTCTTCCTCCCTGTAAAGTATTCCATGAAGAATTCAGTGCTGATTTGGTTGTCATGTATTGTCTTACTTTATGTTTGTCTTGAAATACCCTTACTTTTCCATCAATTTTGAAAGATAACTTTGCTGGGTATCTCATTCTTGGCTCACAGCTATTTACTTGAAATATTTAATTCCACGTTTGCTCATCTGTTGTTTTTTGTCTTTCAGTGTTTGCTTTCCTTTGTTAAGAGTCTATGTGAATGTTTTGTTCTATGTGGGACATTTGCATGAAGTATAGCTGTGGGGATTGGTGAGACTTGGTGATGATTGTCAGATGGAGTGGCTGAGTTGACACTGTGTTATCTGTGTGTCACCAGGACCAAGGGTAGGCTGTACACTGACTCCAAAGCAACCAGATGCAGTAAAAACTTTGGTCATCCCTTTGATTTTGTGAACCTCCTGGAGACAAGATACATGATACCCACTGAAGTCTTTCTAGTATGTGGAGGTTGTTGTTAGAGTCATAGGTCCATAGAAACCCAGGCCACAGCATTATAGTCTCTTAGTCCTTCAGGAACTACTGGAACCCCAATGTCAAAAATCCACACTCATAGTGACCTTAATCCTGTTGTAGGGGCTAAGCCTCTATCTCTCAGGGGATCCTGAGCACCCTGAATCTGGCCTTGCATTGGCCCTAGAGGCCACTGGGGCTAGGCATTTGGTACCTGGTGCTCCCAGGTCCTACTGGAGTCAGAGGCCTTTTTCTAGTCTTTTTAAACAAGTAAACTTAGGCATATGTTATTTTTAAGTGTAAATTTTGATGTATTTTAATGAAAAGTTTTGATAGTTCTACATTTATTACAGCTATCCATAGGCCTTTAATTTGTTTTCAAATTTCCCATCTAAAATTCATCCTATTTATTAAAGATGTATTTATTATTTATTTTATATGTATGGATGCTTTGCTTGCATATATACATATATATGTATATATATATATACACATATGTGTGTGTGTGTGCACTATGTGTATATAGTGCATGCAGGGGCCATTGGAGGTCATTGATCGCCTGGAACAGGAATTATAGGCATTCTGGGGATCTAGCCTGGATCCTCTAGAAGAGGAACCAGTGTTTTTAACTGGGGAGCCATCTCTCCAACCCCTTGAAATGAATTGTAATTCTTAAACAAAGCATCTTAGTTGAGAAAAATGCTACTTTGCCTAGTGATGAGGTAGATTACAGTTCCTAACAGTTGTTGTAGCTATCTATCTGCTGTCTATTGCACCACGCATGCTCAAGGTTGGTGTGGCCCAGCTCACTTGTTCCCAGTGCCTGTTTTAGCGCCTGGCAGATAGGACTTAATAAGATTTGCTGGATTAAAGTTATATTAGATACAATAAATAATGAGAATTCCTCACATAAATATCAGATTTCAAGCTGGTCATACGTGTCAAGGAAAGTGTATCAGGATTAGGTTTAACATAAGTGAGGAAGATGGGGAGAGGCTTTGAGGAGGGAAGACTTGGTGGGCCCTGCAAAACATGTGGCATTTGAGTGACTTGGAAGTGAGCCTGATGAGACCCAGCAGGTGAGTGTTGTGAAGGAGAGTCAGGGAAATTGGATTGTGGACTTAAAGTGTCCACGTGTGGGTAGACATTAGGGAGCTGTGGCTGCTCAGCCAGGAGACTGTCGAACTCTTGAAGAGGGGTATATTATCGAGT